TGACGTGCTTGCCGATGAGCTTCTTGCGCAAGAACTCCTTGGCCTCGGCTACCCATGGCGATTGCTTGGGATCGGTAGGCTTGGGTTGGCGGACGCTGCTGAGGTTGATGCGCTTCTCTGCGCCCGCCTTGTTCCGGATGAAAATGGTGTCTGCGCTCTGGACACGACTAACGGTGGCTTCTTGCTCTCCAGCCTTGCTGATCTTGGGCGCAACGTGTTCCTTGTATACACCTAGGCGGCCGTCCTTTGCCTGCTTCTCAGCGCCCCTTAGTATGCCCATCTTCTGGCCGAGGAGGGTGGTGTGGTGATCGGTACATTTTGCCAAGCCGTTCTTGAGCAGGAAAGGTGTGATGCTGCCTTGGGTGGGATGCTTAACATCTGCGACAATTTGTCCGTTCGGTGTTGTTCCCAGAACCTCGACGAGGACTCCTCGCTGTAACAGCCTCGTCTCGACGAATTGTTGGGCGTCGTCACCGAACGGCTCGGCTGGCTGCACCTTCCCGTCGGAAGGATTTGTTCGTTGTGTTGCGGGAGCGCGGACACCGGCGAGGAGGACCATTGTTTGGACGTGCTCGGTGGGCGACAGGAGGAATCGCACAATGAGGCGGTCGCCGGACAGGACCTTTTCGACAATCGAATCGATGTCCTTGCCCTTGTTCTGTTCAACGAACTTGGTCGCATCGCTCAGCTCTGACGACGAGTTGATCCTGCCGCCAGTCTCTGCCCAAAGACCCTTGGAGTCTGCCCTGGCGCGTGCCTCGTCTACTTGCAGTCGCTCGAGTAGGTTGGCAGCCTCGTCCGAGTCTTCCTTGCGGCCGGCGTCGTCGCGCAGCTTCACCCAGCCCGCCGCGACGGCTTGTTGCGGCAATATCTCCTTGTTCGGTGTGACGATGAGGCCATATTCGCGGTTCGCGCCCGTCGGGATCTTGTAGAGGACTTGGAAGCGGACGACTTTGCCTACCAGCAGACGGCGGAGGTAGTCGCGTGACTCGAAGGCAAAGGGCTCGTCTCCCTCTCGTCGCAGTCTCGGCGCGGTGACAAAGGCTAAGCTCAGTGTGCGCTCTGCTTTTGGGTTGTTGATGTTGTGGAGAACGACGGTGTCGCCGGAAAGGACGCTCTTGACTTTGGCTTCGAAGAGGTTGCTCATGATGGACGTCGGATAGCTGCAGAACGCGAGGGGAGCTATTAGCTACTGTGTCCAGAGAGCTTCAGATGCAGGTGGGGCCTCGCAGCTATTCCCTGGCACTTACCTGCAGGAGATGCCAAAATGGGGTCAATGTTCCAATGGGTGTTTATGGGAGACGCAATTGATGTGTGGACTGTATGCCAATTGCTATATGTGGATTGGGAAGCTACGTGTTGTTATGGCGGGCAAATCTCGCCGTTGCTCTCAGGGACCTTCGGTGTGGGGTTCTAGGCGAATCAAGCTAGACGTCACCACCGCCTTCCAGACTCCTTCACCACTCTCAACTCTCAACACAGACACACGCGATAGTCGGTGCGACCATCGAGCTTCACGTGTTGACCGCTGATATAGTGTCACATGCCTCGGACCGTGGTTCGCAACCCGGCGCAGATGCCATGTCAGACCTTTTCGAAAATTGCGGTAGCTCTCACTTCTTCCAGCATCTCTGTTTGAATGCATCGCAGGCTTTGAAGATGTGTGTGTCTCTGCTACCCTCCCTTTTAACCAACCATGAGGCTGCATAGGCACCTTGAATAGGGGAATCAAGAGTGCCTCCGGGCCTCCTTACCTAACATGCTTGAGGGCCGTCCTTGTCAGGGGTTGTAGTTGGACGCTGCCTCGACTACGCCGCAGGCGAGCATTAGCTTGCCTCGCCGCCTTGCTTGCACCAGGGCAATACCACCCGTCCAAACGCTCCTAACATCATTTCGTTGCCACAAACTTCAATACGGCCATTCACTTCAGAGGCGCTAGACACGAAATATCCTCCACAGCCATTGCAGACATCGCATCAACGATTCTCAGGCCCGTCCCTGTAGGATTTGTTATCGTGCCCATCCTTCGAGCCTCTTCAGATGCCGACATGAATGATATATCTATTGGGAAGCGTCCTCGACCAGTTGTATCATGCCTGAGGTGTCGCGCGAAGAAACTGAAATGCGATCGCATAACGCCGTGCGAGAATTGCACCAAAGCAGAGATCGCTGAACCGTGTACTTATAACCCAAAAGGTATTGCGCCGTTGGCATCGAATAGAGGACGATCGCCACCATCAAATCCCCACAACAGAAAGAGTAGCACGCCGGTACTATCGCATGGCGAACCATCGCGTGGGGAACCATCACTGCGATCAAAGTCCCATAATCCAAAAGGCATCACACCGGTACCATCGAATGGAGAACCATCGCTACCACCAGATTTCCCCATCTCACAAGCCATCACGTCGGCACCATCGAATGGCAAACAACCGCGCTCAGCAGATTCCCCTGATCATGCATCTTTCGATTCGCTGGAAGATCTTAAGCATCGCTTGGCCAAAGTTGAAGAGCTGTTAAGCGTTGCACGTGCGCCTGAGAGTTCAATGACAGCAGACGTCGAGCAGCCAACGCCAACAGCCTGCTTACCTCTCCTTGGTACAGTCGTCGCCGAAGGGGGCAGATCACGGTATCATGGGCAAAATGACAGAATTACGCTCCTTAATCAGGCAAGAGAATAGGGAATCATCATCTACGAAAAACTGTACTGACTGAATACAGTTCCTCGATGTCAAAGACTTTCTCAACAGGATGGCTAGTGACGAGCAGCTGATGGCGTCTGCAAATCGAGTCAAAATACTCCAAAGCCAATCGAGAAGGAATCTAGGTCTACCACTTCAGAACAAGAAAGACCCTGGTTGCTCGCCTGCATTGCTCAAGCTGTGGGTATCTCTGCCGTCAAAGCCATACTGTGACAAATTGGTGTCAATATACTTCCAGTATTTTGAGCGTACCATGCGCGTTCTGCACCGCCCAACTTTCATGCGTCAGTATGAAAAACTGTGGCATGATGGCGAATGCGGGGTTGGTTCCTCATCCAGCATCCTCGCGCTGCTCACAAGTGTTATGACCAGAGCTTATTTGCTGGACGATACAACCGACACCAACGACGAGGAAGCTTACAAAACCTATCTGAAATGTACGGCTATTAGCCATGTCCAGGCATGGCTTGGGGAACTTGGACGAAAGCAGCGCACGGAGCTGTCAACGCTTCAGGTCGAGATACTTGTACTACTGTCTGGCGGTATCAGCCAGTCTGATCCGGATAAACTCTGGAGCTCCTGTGGCACCCTGCTGCGCTCAGCTATAATCATGGGTCTTCACTTGGATCCTGCAAAGATTAAGCTCATTTCGCCGTACCAGATGGAGATGCGAAAGCGACTATGGGCCACTGTTTTGGAAATGGAAGTACAAGCATCCATCATGACGGGAATGCCTTTGATAATTACCGACCTTCAATCGTACAGTCCAGTACCGGCAAATCTGAATGATGAGGATTTTGGCGAGTCTTCGGCGAAGCTACCTCCTCCCCGTCCACTTTGCGATCTGACAGACAGTCTCTACCAGATATGTCTTGCCATGTCTCTTCCCCAACGGCTTAAGGCTTTCTCGCTTGTACAGCGATCGATACCCGATGTGAATGAGGCGATTGAAACTGGGCGCGCAATCCAAAAATGCTTGAACTCGCTGCCTTCGACTCTCGATTTGCGTCATAGCCAACCAGCCATAGGTGACAGAGGTGGATTACTGCATCGCGTGCTCCTCGACTTTTACATTCGGCGATCACTATTGTACTTGTACAAGCCGTTTCTTTTCGGCTATCAGGAATACGAGGGTAAAGTAGCTGCCTGGTATCCATCTCAAGATGCTCAAACTGACTTTGATCAGTATGTACTCATTTAGCTATTACACCTAGGCCAGAAGATTTTAGACGCTATCGTGGGCGTGTTATGTCGTAACTCTCTTAAGAATTGCGGGGTTTCTATCTTGCTCTAAAGTATTGGTTGTGCTAACGACTTCATAGCAAGTGGTCGTGGAGGCCTGGAGACAATGCGTCGACTCATCGCTTGCGATAATCTCTTATCAAAGGTTCTATAACCCTCAAGTGGTTAAAGAGCCGGCACCGTTACAAGAGAACCTTTACTACTGGCTGTGCAAAAAGGACACTTTATGGTCGGCTCTGACAATATGCCAACGCATCAAATATCTCCGCCAGGCCACCTCAGACGGTCAGCACCCAGAGCAGCAGATGTCCGGACACGACGAACAAACACTCGTCACGAAGGTAGAGCAGACTGTTCATTACCTCATCACGAGAATGGGCCGTGGTAAAGCAGATGATCTCAAAGACATCATCTTCCTGTCGTTGGCGCTGAAATGGGTACAGCTACCTGAATCAGCCCCGGGACGAACCTACGAATTACATGCCACCACCAGGAAAACAATGGCTGCTTGTATGGAGCAGCTGCAGACAACCAAGCTTACCAGCGGTTGCCATCAACGTCAACGAAGCGATGCTGAGCCGCTAGCTAAGCGGATAAGAACTTTCGGGACAGGCATCTCTCCCAATACCACGGGTACTTATCCCATTGCTCTGAGACAAACGACAAGCCCGCTTCCAGAAGCTCATGAGCTAGGAGGCTTTGTCGAAGGTGCCGAACAATGGCTCAACGATGTTACTGGGCAGGTCGCCGATTTTACGGATTATCAGGCTGATTTTTATTCTTTCAATGGTGCTTTCGTTGGCGCTATGTCGCAATATTGGAATTGGGAACACCTCTGGCAGTGATGCTCGCTTTGTATCTTTCTGGTTTGCGAAATCATGTCTCGCTGGAGTAATACAACAAAGTAACCGTTAGAGATACGCATATTGTTCATCTGGGATTCTGCAAAATAACATTCATTACGAAATCCAGCTATGCGTCTGATATTCCCGCCTTTCTTTTTCCAAATTTCACATGGAGGGGTGTTTCATCACATATAAAGTCCCCACCCTCCTCCTACTCACTCAACCCCGGAACACTCCCCAACACACCCATGGTATGTTTCCAAACCCTGTCCCTCGTGTCACTCTGCCTCAGCTTGGCATAACTGACTTGCTTTTTCTCATCACCCCTCTGCCCCACCGCATATGCACCACCTCCCCTCTCCCTTGTACTACTAAACGCCACATCAGCCACCGTCTTGCCTTCCTCGCCATCTTTGACCCCCACGCCCGCGCCCCTCGCGGGATACCTGCCCATGCCCAGAGACACCATGACCTCACCACATACCCTTGGACTCGTCATATACCATGCCATCAACACCTTAGCTACGCGCCACAGCACGCGAAACCATAGCGGATTCACCTTGCTAAGGAACGTTGGACCGTCAACTAAGCCGGGGTAGACATGGATAAAAGCGATCTTGCCAGCGTGTTCTTCGGCTAGGGCCTCAAACATAAATGTCTTCATGAAAGCGACGTGCGTGCGAACTGGTGTGACGCCGTGCTTTTCCGGCGAAGGTGGGCCAACAGGAAGGGCAGAGGGGGAGATGGAGTCTTCGATTGTGCCTGCGAAGACGGAGATGACGTGGGCGCCGCTTGGGTTTTGGGAGCGGAGGAGTAGGGGTGTAAGGGCGAGGATGAAGCGGATGCGGGAGTAGTATAGGAGGGTGACTTGGGTATCGAGGCCTTCTTTTGTTGCTGGTGAGGTTGGTTAGTTAAGGCTCCCTCCGTGCTGGAAGCGAATGCAGATAGAAAATACTTACGCGGTGATGGCGCAAGTGGTGACTCTGCTTGGGTCATGTATAGCATGTCTATCCGCGGTTCTCCCCCGTTCAATGGCTGCTCTTCTTCATGCTTCTTGATTTGCGCACATATGGCGTCGACATCGCTCATCAGCGCCAGGTCATGGGCTTGTATGAATCGCCATTCTGAACCTGGGCTTGTGGCGCGCACTTCTGCAAGCAGAGCTTCTGCGCGCGAGGCGTTGCGGCCGACGATGTAGATGCGTAGTTTGGATTTTGAGTTGCGGTAAACGGAGGCCAAGGCTTTGACGATGTAGGATCCGATGCCTGAGGTTCCGCCTATGATAGCGATGACGAGAGGGGGACCGGTGGTTAGGTTGGCGATGGTGGTGTGGATTGTTGAGTGGGGTGGCATTGCTTCAGAAGATACTGCGAAATGGGAGATTTGGGAAATTGAGATGAAGAAGTTGGCTGAGTTCCAAGGAGGAAAACATATATACACAAACGTTGCTCGATATTCCTCTTCCCATTTTTTCATCAAGGCATGTACTCGTTTTGACGATGGAGATGTCTGAATTAGGAAAATCATGCGCCAAGCGATACACCTTCTGGGCTTAGACTCGACGAGGCGTCCATTCTCCCAGGTGCCTTCCAATAATAACGTGCCGTATAAATACAATCGGAGGTTGATTGCGCCGAGGCTGTCGTTTACCTTGCTCCGATCCTGAGGAGTATTGGCTTTTTGAAGTTGTTCACGTATGTAGTAGTATTTGCGCCATGTACGTACCGTCACGCAGACGTGTTCATGAGTAGATATCAATCATCAGGCCAACCCTTGACATCAAAGCACATCCAACCATGCTTGTACGGATTGTAAAAGACTGTGCGGGAATCGCAGACGAAACGATACGAATAGGATGGAGCGCGAACACTACCCTAATCTCTGGACCGAGAAATGGAAGCATGGCGATCTTCTAGCACATGCAGGTCAAACAGATGATGGAATTTGCGTTCGCAAGTATCGAATTCAGACTTTGAACGTGAGAAGTCGTGGACAGACGTTAAATTTATCGGGGTGAATCGCCCGAGTTGCCTGTGTGGGCAATGTGAAACATGGTCCGGCTTACCATTGAAGCTTGGCTTGCTGCAGTCGGTGATATTTGGTTAACATAGACATGAGAACGTGCTAAGATGTATTGCGCGGCGTGGTGCATGCAGGCCAATACTGTGACTGCAGAAACGTGACGTGGTACATGAGGTATGCAGCAGTCGGGAGGCTGGGAGGCTGCGCGTGTTGACAGTCGAGCCAGAAAGGTCGAGGCTGCTAGAGTCTGGTAGGATGACTTGACGCTGACGCGGCGCCGAACGCACGGCGGGATTAGATTCGCTCAATGGCGCGGGGTAGGAGCGAGTGGTGAGCACAACATGTCTTATCAGCCGGGGACCGATGGCGATCTTGATCTGGTGTTTGTGTTTCACCACGGCGGTCAGATCGCTACAAGGGCGTTGGATGTCGCGCATGCCCAGGCTGAGACACGACTTCGAATGAGCAGGTGGGAATGCGTGAAAAAGTTGAAAAGACGAAGGCGACTATGAGGCTATGCAGTGTTGAATGCAGACTAAATGGGTTAAAGTAGGTCGCTCCAGATTCCACGGTGGAGCCGTTTGCGGTAGCGGCTGACACGAGGAGCTAGGAATAGAACGTGGAAGGAACGCGGACAAGACGTCCATGACAGTTGCAGGCAGCGGAGTCGACAGCAGACGAGATGCAAGGCGTGCAGGATGAACAGGGGATTAAAGGGAGGATACCAGAGAGGCTTCGCGGCAATAAACGTGAAAGGTGCAACTGATATGGGAAATTGCCTCTGGCTCCACCCTTGCGCTTGCCGTTGTGGATGGGGCTTCCCGCGGCTGCGCCAAGGCCTCACTGCAACTGCTTGTTCTGGTTGAGGGCATATCGCTCTTGCCTGCATTGGGCGCACAGGCAGGCGCGAGGGAACACAGCGCAGGAAGAGGCAGGCACGAGGGAGATCGTGATATGAACGAGACCGGCGTAGGCGCCAGAAGGGCCATTGTCGGGGGGAAAAGGCGGGCAGTCGGTATAGGCGTTATCTTGTCGCAAAACCTGTTGAGTGTGTTTGGGGCTGGTGCATTGGCGGAGACGTCACAGTGGGTTCCGTGGTGGTTTCCTGGGTGAATTAGCGGGCTAGCGCATCGCGCAGTCGCAGCCGTCAGCCTCTGTCGTGCCAGCGCCGTGTTACCCGCCTAACACACCTGCATCATCTCGGCCACTGCACGACTCCGACTTTCTCTCCACCACTGCGACCGCGCCTGCGCCTCTGCGAAACGCTGCCTCTGCATTATCTTTTCCGCTCGTTCTGCCCGGATCCCTGCGAGGTCCCACGCCGTGAAGAACAAACCACCCAGCCAACCGTGTTCCGCGCCGCAAACACTAGCCAGGCCCAGCGATAGTCCGCCTCGATTCGATCCGCAGAGCGGCGCGCCGCCGTCCGCTACCTCCACCAAGCGTTGCCCGCGCAGGTTGTTTTCGCCTCTGCACGCGAGGTGTGTAGCAAAACCTCGAACAAGCACTCACAATGGCTTTCCAGCAACCCCAGGCCTGGCCATTAGGACAGCAGCACGACGCCCTCCCGTCCGACGACAACCCGCCGCCTCCGCCAGCCCATCGCACTCCCGTAGGCCTCCACGCCCAGCGCCAGTATACCGACCCCAATAACTACTCCGACTACTCGACCCCAGGCGTCACCCCCGGCTCAGACAACATGGGCGAGACGGCTCCGGGCGGCGGCATCAACGGCATCGCCAGCGGCGTCGCTGGCTCCCACCCACGCGAGAGCGGCCTCCACGCTGCACGAGGCATGGCGGGCCCAGGACGGCCCATGGGCGTCCCCAACAGGAACTCGCAGTCATCACCCTTCAATGACCCCAACGGCCACGACCAGCCCATGGTTCCGCGCCCAATGTACTCGCAACGCTCCTACGGTTCCGGCGCACCACTTGTCGGCGGCATGTACTCGAGTGACAGCTCCATGTACAGCATGCCACACTCCCCGCACAGCGGCGTCCCCTACGCCGACACGCCCTACAACCGCTACTCGTCGTCCGCCCAGAACCTCGCGCCGCAGATGGGCCAGATCAACCCACTCGATGTCGACAACGACGACGACTGGGGAATGGGCCCAGACCACAACTCTCCACAGAACAAGCGACGCTCTTTCGTGCCATTCGGTGGCTCGCGGGACGGCAGCAGTCGTAATGGCTCGCCAGGGTCATCGATAAACAACGGAGGCGTTGCTGCCGCAGCAGGCGCTGGTGCTTTTGCTGCCTCACGCGACGGTACGAAGTACGATGCCGTACCCATGGTCAACGGAAGTGGAGAGCTTGTCCCAGAAAAGGTTGCAAGTTGGAAAGCAGAAGACGACTTGAAGAAGAGGAAGAAGCGCATGTGGATCGCCATTGCCATCATCACCCTCATCCTCGCAGGTGCAATTCTGGGCGGTGTCCTCGGTGCCACTGTCGGAAAGGGTGGCGGTGCAAAGGACGGGGCTGCTAAGTCTGCTCAGTCTGCTGACGATATCGCCAAAGACAACAAGGAGGACCTCGGCAAGGACTCTTCCGAGATCAAGGCTTTGATGAACAACGCCGATTTGCATAAGGTGTTTCCCGGCATGGACTACACTCCTCTGAACACGCAGTACCCAGACTGTCTCCACGTCGGACCATCGCAGAACAACATCACCCGTGACTTGGCTGTCATGTCGCAACTGACCAACTCAGTCCGCTTGTACGGAACCGACTGCAACCAAACACAGATGCTTATTCACGCCATCAACCAACTGGAGATTAAGGACACCATGAAGATCTGGCTTGGTGTATGGCTCGACAAGAACGACACTACAACGGAGCGACAGATCTCCCAAACATGGGACATTCTTGATGACTATGGCTGCGACTATTTCAAGGGTATCATCATTGGTAACGAGGTGCTTTACCGCAAGGACCTGTCTGAGACCGAGCTGCTGGGACACATTTCCGATTTCCGCAAGAACATCTCGGACCACAGCTGCCAACTGCCTGTCGCAATGGCTGATTTGGGTGACAACTGGACCGGCGACATGGCCACCAAGGTCGACATTGTCATGTCAAACGTGCACCCCTTCTTTGCCGGTGTCGACGTCAAAGAGGCAGCTGCCTGGACCTGGAACTTCTGGCAAACCCACGATGTGTCATTGACCGCAACCCAGAACGACATCCACCAAGTAATCGCCGAGGTTGGCTGGCCATCTGGAGGCGGCACCGACTGTGGTGCGGCTGACACTTGCGCCGGAGGCTCTGTTGCCGGTATTGACGAAATGAACCAATTTATGGAAGACTGGGTTTGCCCAAGTCTAACTAACGGGACAGAGTACTTTTGGTAAGTCTCCCTGTCATTCAGCCTCGATAGACTGCCGCTAATACATCCCTAGGTTCTCAGCCTTTGACGAGCCATGGAAGATCCAGTATAACGAAAAGGGCAAAGAGTGGGAAGACAAGTGGGGTCTCATGGACGTCAACCGCAAACTGAAGCCCGGGCTTAAGATCCCCGATTGCGGCGGCAAATCGTTACCCTCGACGTACGACAACTAGATACGACACGAGCGCGTATAGCATCCCTTCTCATACGAGTTCTTGCATGACGGCATGGCGTTGGCGGGCGTTCTTCATCTTCGGCATCATCGCGGCGACTCTTTCCGACCGCTCCATCGATCTCTTTCCGCGAATTGTATACTCGGGGCGCAGTTCTGCCCTTTTTCTTTTGCTCCCTCTTTTGTGGGCTTGAATGCCACACCAGTGTTCTGGGAGTGGATTTGTCTGGATGAGCCTATATCGAGACATGTTAGGTACTTTACATTGGATAATCTCATGAGGGAAGGAGCCCTCTACTTGTGTATATATACGATTACCGGGATGTGATGAAACCGGCTGGCTATTGTGTGTGTGGATTTGTCAAGGTCTGAAGGTCTTGTGCTGCGTTTTCCTCCGCGCTTTGTAGGCTACGGAGACGAAAATATGTGAAGAGCATTGTAGATAGGACATGTACGGGAATATAAATGCAAGAGATGTATCCTTTTGGCTTTTAAGTCTGTCGAATTTACGTTACCGGGCCGCGTCATGGAGTTGCGTCAAAGTTTGCTCCACGGCGGGTATGTGTTAATGTGGGTATGGAGGATGGCGTCAGCTGGATCCACCGGGGATGATTACTACATGCCCGTCACTCGCAGGTAATGAGAAGGAGAATTCATGGAGCGAGGATCACGGCGACTTAGTAAAGGTACATGCTTTATATGTGACAACGACTATGTTTGCAGCCGAGAAGTCATTGTACATTCTCCCAACCACTATTAGCATTACATA